CTACACACACCATTTTCTTTTTTTTATTTTATTATTCATATGTGCATACAAGGCTTGGGTCACTTCTCCCCCCTGTGCCCACCCCCTCCCTTACCACCCACTCTGCTCCCTCCCTCTCCCCCCTACCCCCTCAATACCCAGCAGAAACTATTTTGCCCTTATTTCTAATTTTGTTGAAGAGAGAGTATAAGCAATAATAGGAAGGAACAAGGGTTTTTGCTGTTGAGATAAGGATAGCTATACAGGGAGTTGACTCACATTAATTTCCTGTGCGTGGGTGTTACCTTCTAGGTTAATTCTTTTTGATCTAACCTTTTCTCTAGTTCCTGGTCCCCTTTTCCTATTGGCCTCAGTTGCTTTAAGGTATCTGCTTTAGTTTCTCTGCGTGAAGGGCAACAAATGCTAGCTAGTTTTTAGGTGTCTTACCTGTCCTCACCCCTCCCTTGTACACACACCATTTTCAAATGTGTATAAATCCCTAATGAAATGGAAAGGAGAAATAAGAGAAGAATCATTTGTAATAACACACCAGGCTTTCATGCACGTAAGTACTTGTTTACAATCAAAGACAGTACAGATGCTTGAATCCGTATAGAGAGCAGTATACAAACGTGACTGCTACAAATGAAGCCAGTTCAACAAACATATAACTGTAGCATTGATGCATGGCTTCCCCCAAATAGTGTACGCCTCTTGGTTAAGGTCTAGATATAAGGACTGGGAGTGTGGCTCAAGTGGTAGAACACCTGCTTAGTGAGTGTAAGACCCTAAGTTCAAACCCCAGTCCCACCAAAAAAAAAAAGTAGTATGATTTTTGTTGCTGTTAAAGGAATCCCTTTTTCCATTTTATTTTCTTCTTTTAATATCCTTGGTTGCTATTTGTTTTTATTTGTGGGACTCAGGGTCTCATGAGTATTACCCCCAACCCCTTTGTCTTATTTTCTAACTATGAGTGTTGTATAGAGAAGCCACTGTAATTTATGGTTTTTCTGGACATGTCTATTAGAACTCACACCTTATTGGTGTTTGTTTAGGTTTATAGGTTGTTGTCATATTTTTGGTAAATAAGTTTGCCTCTTCTTATGGTGTTTGCTGTTGATTTTCAATTTAAATGATAGAAATATGTATTGGGGTTTGAACTTAGGGCCTTGGATTTGCTAGGCATGTGCTCTACCACTTGAGCCACTCTGCCAGCTCTGTTTGATGTTGAGTATTTTCAAGATAGGGTCTCGTGAACTATTTTCCCCAGCTGGTTTCGAACTGCAATCCTTCTGACCTCTACCTCCTGAGTAGCTGGGATTACAGGCGTGAGCCACTGTGTCCAGCTTCACTGATAGTAATATTTGTCTCTGAGGGTGTAATTGCTATTACCTATGACATAGGTACCTTGTTGGGGGTGGGGCAAAGCTGTAGATTCTCATTTTCTTATTTTTATGTGCACACACAAGTAAAACATTTCCATCCCCAGGTGTCTGTCTTTCCCCCAAGACCCCAAACACACAACTCGCCATGACTAGTTTCTTGAGTATTCTTCTAGAGCTCCATGCACACAAAGTAAATATGAGTGTATTTATATAATGTTCCTCCATTTTCCACACAAGGTAGTGTGTGCTGTATATTGTCACCTGTCATTCATGCTCACCCATGCCATGGTATGGATGTACTAAGTTTATGGAAACATTCCCTAATGACCTCATTTGGGTTCTTCCCAACATGCAGTGTAACCCATAGTGTCATTCATGTCTGTAGCGAAATCCTTGCACTCCAAGTCAAGGGAACCCCACTTCTTAGTTTGATCAATGTTGCAACATTCAGAGAGCTCAGTGGTGCTGCTGGAGTACAAAATAGAACCCGTGTCCTCAAGAAAATGTCAATTCTGTATCAACATAAAACCAATTTTTCCTAATCTGCCCTTAGAATTTTAAAATTTTTATCGAGTCAAGTTTATTGACTTATTTTACATGCAGTAAATTTGCCACTTTTTAATCATACCGTAGGCAGTATAATTTTAATTTGCATTTCTTTTATTATAAGCCCGATGTGTTATAATTACAAGAAGAGAGATTTCTTAAGCCCCCAAATGTAATGAATACAACATTTAAATAAGACTAGTCGATTTGCACATTCTTATTCTTTCGGGCTCAGCAAATTTCATCCTTTGGCAAATTCAGAGCACACAAAGCAATACAAAATGACTTTGAAATGTGTTCCTACAAGTCCACAGTAAAACAAATTGACTGTCAAGAAGGCAGAGCTTAACTGGGAAGATACATTTATTGAATAATTGAGAGGAAGAGGAAATACATTACTTATTACCACAAAAAAATGCATGGTGCCTAATCTGCTCCTTGTGTAAATGGGGGCTTGTAAAACTGTCTCAGCCCCCAGGTTTCTCACCAATCCCCAGACCTGTCACCGCCTTGCTTATGTCTTGTGGTACCAACGAATGCATTGTTGGATTGGTGATAGCTGAAGTCTGGTGTCATAGCTATTCTTTGTAGCTTTTCTTACCTGTTACTCTGTCTGGTATATTTAAATATTTTAATTGGATCCTGAATTTGCCATTACCTGCTTTGTTCTAGGATTTTCGCTTTGGATGGGCAACACAGTGTAGACCACAGAAAAGGTGCTGGGTGGTGGTGGCAGAATTAGGACTGGAACTCAAGCCTTGTGGCTTATCAAGCAGCCAGATCACCTCCAGCAAGCAAGTCCTTTCTTTCGTGTTTCTGGTTTTATTTCCCATCCAATAGGAGAGGGTTGCCCTAAGTCCACTTGGGAACCCATAAAATATTAGCTTTTATCATAACCAAAAATGTTCCTCAAAAGTTCTTTTTTTTTATTATAAGAATTTTTTATTAGGATATATTCGTTCTGGGAGGAGGAGATTCATAGTGACAGTTGCGATTAGGCTTACATTTTACATTTGTTAAGTCACCCCCACCATCTCTTCCCCTTAACCCCTCTCCCTGCCCTACTTACAGCAATTGCAAGAGGTGTCTTTGTTCTGTTTCATATTAGTATATGAAGTCCATCCACCACATTCCCTCACCTTCATCTCTTTCATTCACTCTCCCCTCTCCCACTAGTACCCCACCACACTCAGAAGTGCTTTTTGGTTGTTTCTGTAGACTGGGATTTGAACTCAGGGCCTATACCATGAGCCACTCCACCAGTTCTTTTTTGTGATTTTTTTTTTTCTCCAAGATAAGGTCTTGTAAACTGTTTGCAAAACAAGCTGGCCTTGAACCTCAGTCCTCCTGATGGCTGCCTCCTGAGTAGCTGAGTGACTGGGATTGAGCCAGTGCCTGGCTCAAATTCTTTTTACTTATTTTTTATTTATTTATATTTTTGGCAGTACTACAGTTTGAACTCAGGGCCTCTCGCTTGCTAGGCAGATGCTCTACCACTTGAGTCACTGCACCAAGCCCTTTAAAAGTTCTTAAGTCAACACCAGGCAAAAATATGCATGACCAGGATGTCACAAGTCCAGTCACTTGTGGGATGCTGTGTCCTTTGGTACCTGAACTAGGCAAAGGAAGTACTTTGGTTTTTTTCTTTTGACTAGTGCTGGGGGTTAAACCTGGGGCCAAGCGCTGTACCACTGGGCCACACCCCCTGTCTTTGTTAGAGGCTCTTTCCTTCCCATGGTGTTGGTGGTATTGTTCCAGGCTGTTCTCTGAGACATGAAGTTAGCCAAAAATGTGCTTTGCTTATAAACCCAGGGTTTGTTTCTGCTTTTATGTTATTGCTGGTTTGAACTGTTTTCCCAAAAAGCCATCAAACATAATGGAGTGTTTTGATACAAATTCCAAGGAAGAAACAGTCCAAAAAGTGACCACACACAAGAAATCATAAATAAGAGATAGAACCTGCACGAATACCAGGTGGTTTTCACACTTGATACAGGGAGCAAGGAGGTAAAAGTTCATCCCCAGAAAAGCTCATTGAGAAATCCTTGTAATTTCAGACAGTGCAGTGCGCCGTTCTTTTCTGCTTTCTAAACTGTAGTAATGAAAGAAAAAAGAATACATCTTTTTAGTACCAAAAATGTTGGAAAGGTAACGCCGCCCCCCATGTATACAAAATGTACTTAAACCAAAATGGGGGCTGCTCCTTTATATTGAGCGCTCTTGATACGATGCTGTTAGGTCTTTTGACCTTTGAGTGGGAGCCTACCTTTGAAATTCACATAGGAGCACTGTTTCTGTATTTGTTTCAGTGAATTTTACGTTCAGTTTGGACTCAGCATTTAGCATCCTCCCCTTGATCTCAGTGGCATGGGGACCCGCCCCACCCCACCCCAGCCCAGCCCGTGGTCCAAGGAAAATTCCTTCACAGGTGGAGCAAGTGGAGTTGACACTGAAGTTGACTTAAATCCCTGCCTGTACCTTTGAGCTCAGCTGTCAGTGATCAGCATGCAGAGGTCAACATTTTGAGTGGAACTTGAGCACACTCACACAAAAACTTGTTTCCTCTAAAAGTCAGTGTGGCTCTTAGACAGAATGCAAGGGAGAGGGAGGGAAGGCCAGGGAAAGCTTCATGTGCGTGTTAAATAACGTTGGCTTCACTTGCTGTTGAAAACACTTCTCTTTTGTATATTCAGGAACTGTATTTGTTTTAAAGAGAAAAATCAGCTTGTCAGCTATTGTTTCTTAATTGTGCTCCATAAAGGACTTGGTGGATATTAAGGAAAACATTCATTTTCCAGAGTCACAGTGGCCGGGGAAGCTCTCTTGAATGCAGCCTCCTCTGGCCAGTTTGCCTTTCTCTCCCAGCTGGGGACACAGACTGTTCCCCTAGCTCTCCCTGGCCACCACCATCTCGTTCACTCGTTCACAGTTTGGGCATTCCTGCACAAGGTGAAGAGGGGATAGCATGGTGGGTGGGGGCCACCTTGCCATGGTATTACTGGGACTGTTCGGGACAAGCTTAAACATGTCCCCTCCTTATTCCACACTCATGTGTCATCGCCTGGTTTGTCTCTGTTTTCCCCCATACAGATTCGGAGTTAGGTGTTGGCACGCTGCCTGAACATGACAGCCAGGATGCCGGGCCGATTGTCCCTAAGATATCGGGTCTAGAGAGAAGCCAGGAGAAGAGCCAGGACTGTTGCAAAGAGCAAATCTTTGAGCCTGTGGTGCTTAAAGACCCCCGCCTGCAGGTTCCCCAGCCAGTTCCCCAGCCTCAGGCGGAGCCCCAGCTCCAGGCTCCTTCTCCGGACCCCAACTTGGTGCAGCGCACAGAGGCTCCTCCCCAGCCTCCTCCTCCCAATACACAGCCACCACAGGGCCCCCCAGAGGTCCAGCTGCAGCCCGCCCCACAGCCTCAGGTGCAGCGGCCACCCAGGCCTCAGTCCCCCACCCAGCTGCTGCACCAGACCCTCCCGCCTGTGCAGGCCCACCCTGCCCAGAGCCTCTCCCAGCCTCTGTCTGTCTACAACAGCAGCAGCTTGAGCCTCAACAGTTTAAGGTAAGACACCTGCTCTTCTGCCAACCCTTTCCTTAGAGCACTGGGTCAAGGAGTCCCAGGTGTCTGGAGTTGCCTGGTAGACACATGGCTTTGTGTCTCCATCAGGCTAGGAGACAGCAAAAAGCACTGAGAGGCCAGGTGTCTTGGGAAAGGGCTGTGTAGTGACAACACTGTAAATGACAAGTGCCCAAGGGGACTTCTGAGAGAGTGAAAGCCGGAAGGAGAAGGAGGTCCCAGGAACAGCAGAGGGCATGTTCCAGGGAGCCCTGGTGGCCCTGGAGATGGGGGAATGGAGGACTGGATACAGCACAGGGCTCTGGGGGAGGCCTGTCTGTCTCAGGAAGTCCCAAGGAAAGCTGCCTCTCTTACTCTACCAGTTACACACAAGGAGAAAGGACTCCGTGATTCTTTTTCTTTTTTCTCGCGGGCCGGAGAGGTAGAGAAGAAACTCGCTGCGCTGAAAGGGAGAGAATTCCCACGTGGAGAATCAGCTTGTGTCTGTACTCGTCACATTATGAAGCACAGTCATCTGCCAAGGAGAGGGGCAGCAGCCCAGCATGCAGGGCCCCGTGGAGCCAGCCATGGCTGTCCCTGGGCTCACAGTGCTCACCGGCACATCCCCCAGGGCTTCGTGTCTTTTCCTTTTGGAAGCCTAATAACTTTGGGGGTTTAGGGACTGGCTTTTTCCCACCTGGGACAGGTACAGAGCAGCTTCAGGGCGCCAAGTTCCTTCCCCAGACTTCCAGTGCCATCTTTTGACCCCTAGGCCTTCCTGTGGCCTCCAGACCAGAAGGATGGGAAGAGACCCATACTCTGGCCTCACCTCTCATTTGTGACCCTTCAGTTATGAGGTGACAGTCATGGTGAACCCAGACCATCTTTGGATTGATTCAATGGTGTTAAGTGCTGCTTCTACAAAAACCCGGCTGCAGAAGTGAGAGGCGCTCAGGGGCCGGGCATAGAAGCTAGCATACACCTGTAATCCCAGCTACCTCCCAGGCAGAAATAGGAGGATCAAGGTCCAAGGCCAGCTTTGGGCAAAAGTATGGGACCCGATCTGAAACACAAACTAAAAAAAGCAAAAGGGGCGAGGCTCTGTGGCTCACACTTACAATCCTAGCTACTCAAGAAGCAGAAATCAAGAGAATCACAACTCTAGCCCTAATAAGCAAAAGCACAAGCCCCTGTCTGAAAAAACTAAAAAAGTTCAAGTGGTGGAGAGGCCCTGAGTTCAAACTCCAGCACTACCTATTAAAAAAAGAAATGAGGGGCCCTGTGTTTCAGGCAGAATCAGGTGTCCAGACACCAGGCTGCCTAGCAGCTCTGGAGCAGGACGGTCTGTCTGGCAGTACTTGTCATGGAGAGTGTGTGCATATGCAGCTAGCACAAGGCTGTTTAGGAAGAGGCACATTGAATGACTGTGGCAGAGAAAGAAGATTTAAAATAGAACTAGATCACTCACCCGGTTTTTTTCTCTTGTTTTTCTTCCAACAGCAGTAGCAGGAGCAGTACCCCAGCTAAGTCCCAGCCCGCCCCTCCTCACCTCTCCCATCACCCCTCTGCCTCCCCATTCCCCCTGTCCTTGCCTAACCACAGTCCCCTGCACAGCTTCACACCCACCCTCCAGCCCCCCGCACACTCACATCACCCCAATATGTTTGCCCCTCCCACGGCTTTGCCTCCTCCACCACCACTGACGTCAGGGAGTCTGCCGGTCCCTGGACACCCTGCTGGGAGCACCTACTCAGGTGAGATGGAGGCCCCCACGGCCCACGCTAGCCATCAGTGCCAGGCTGTCTTTACTCACTTTTCTGCTTTATTGGATGGATGCTTGGAATAGTCTTCAAATCCTCTATGGACAGAGGTTCAGCAAAAATTTCTACAACACCCACTCTAGCCTGGCAGAACCATGGGGGTCAGACAATGCCCAGAGAGAATGGGTGGCCTAAAGTCAGGAGGCCTTTCCCATGAGTGTCTGTCCCTTCCCCATGGGAGGCTCAGCTGGTACGTGCCCTGTGCTGGCATCAGGGGTCACAACTTCCCAGGCCCACCATGGCCGTTTCCCTCCAGGTAGTAGGGTTCATCCTAGTTTAAGGTTTGTGTTTATTAAGTAGAGCCTTTATCTTCTTGTGGGAAGGAGAAGATGTACTTTTTGGGACAGTACATCCTAGAATTTTAGAAGCAGAACCAGGGTTAGGTTTTGGGTCCTTTGCTCCTCACCTGTATTAATCAGGCCAGTGTCACAGGGTTAGTCTGGCCATGTGATCCCACTGGGACTGAGAGGTACAGAGTCATTAAAGGCCGTTGAAGAGGGCCCAAGAACCCTGCTTTGTTGACTCTTCAGAGTTTAAATAATGCTAATGTCTTTAACCCTCCAATCAAAGCTGGCAGCTTTATTGGTCCCACCTGACAGAGGAGACTGGTTCTTGTCTCCTCTTGTCACTGGTTGTCCCCTGGTATTCCAGGGTCTGGCTCTATGCTTGGAGCCCTCAGCTGTTGAATCCTTCCATATTAAGACACTTGGATGTCTGTTTGGAACGAAATGGCCATTACAGGAAAAGGTGTCATCTGTCGTCTCCCCTTTCTTTTCCAGAGCAAGACATCTTGCGACAGGAACTGAACACGCGTTTCTTGGCCTCTCAGAGTGCTGACCGTGGGGCTTCCCTGGGCCCTCCACCCTACCTGCGGACCGAGTTCCACCAGCACCAGCATCAGCACCAGCATACCCACCAGCACACACACCAGCACACCTTCACACCGTTCCCCCACGCCATCCCACCCACCGCCATCATGCCGACGCCAGCACCTCCCATGGTGCGTACCCCAGGCAGAAATGTGAGGATAAGTAGAGCACAACTCTTTTCTTCATGCAGCACAGCGGGGATGGCGTGGGCAGACTGGACGGGAAGGGGTGGCCCTACAGGGGGCTCGTGGGGCCTGTTCCACCTTTGCTGGAAAGAGGAGAATGTGCCCACTCGCTCAGAAAGCCCTAATGTTGGGGGCCCAGAGGTGGAACTTTTTTTCTGGTCAGTTGTATCTGGGACTGTGGATGGATTTGATTGTAGGTACCTTCAAAGGGGTCACATCCAGTGTTGGTACAGGAGTGCATCCTGGGGGCTTGTCACCAGAGTTAAGAATGTATCTGTACCAAGTATCCACACAGAAATGCTTACAGAATACTGGGAGTGAGCAAGAGAGAAGGGAGAGATTATCAGAAGGCTTGGCCTCCATTAAGTGCCACCTCCTTGGCTGATCCCTCCCTAAACTTACTTTGTGGGAGCTGTGACACTTCTTATACCTCATAAGACAGAGCCCTAATCTGGTAGGCACTTCGTCAGCAGGTGGCCAGGGACAGTGCGTGCTGTGGGGCAGAACTCCACCTGTGATGAGAGGTACCAGTGACAATGGTGTGGCCTAAAGTCCTGTCTGGAAACTGGCATGTGTCCAGAGAACTAGTTAGGATGCTTAACTAATGGTACCATATTAGAATTCTAGATATATTCTGAGAGCAAGCCCTGTCACTAGCAGTCAGTAGTATTTTATTCCTTAAATTTCACAATTTAAGGAAGTACTTGGTTTTCAGGTGGTTCACTATGTAGGCATTAGAACAGGCACACCATCACATAGTTCTTGTCACCTTGTCCTCTCCTTCCTTCCTACTCCCACCTTGTCCAACTTAATTTTTTCGGCTTACATTTTTAAAATTGGCTTTATAAGGTTTTTTATTCAGAGGAATATTAAAGATGAGGTCTTGTGACCAAGAAAGCTTTTTAACAGCTGAGTCTTCTTTTTTTTTTTACTGGATAAACTTTTTCAACAGTTCCATTTTTAAGGGCTTACTATTTTGAGAACATCTCATGTTGGCCTGTGTGTGGTGCTCCACCAATAAATTGGGGCCATTAGACCTGGACAATGACATTGTTTACAGGAAGCAATACTAGTCTCTCAGTCTCTCTCTCTCTCTCTCTCTTTTCTGTTCAGAAAAATAGACTCTGAAACCTAGCCCAAATTGCTCTGTATTTGGGTGTAATGCATTTCACAAGACAACTGAAAATACAATTTTTTTGCCAAAGCAAAGGTGAAAAGAAGGGAATTCTTAGATAAATTTGACCAAGTGCTCCCTCTCTGTGATTATCCAGATAATGCCTATTCGGTCCAGTGGAGATGCTTGCTTCATGTATAGACCAGAAAGAAAGGCGACATAGTGTGTCCGGGACCCATGAGTTCACACTGTTGTCCATTTCTGTCACTTCTTATCAGAGCAATTTAGAACGGCTTCAACTGTAGTGAGGTTGTCAGTCTGGTGACATCACAACGACACAGAGGCTGGTTTAGGGCTACCTCCAATAAGGCAGTGAACACAAATGCAGATGAAGTAACTAGTTTTTGCTTTGATCCCTTTACAGTTTGACAAATACCCTACCAAGGTTGACCCATTCTACCGGCACAGTGTGAGTTGTGTTACCCTGCTGCACATTGGATGTCACTGCTTTTGCGTTGTGTGCTTTTGCCAGCAGTCAGCCCATGACTAGCAGTCTTCCCTAATCATCTCTGCAAGGTTCCCATCGCTCCCCGTCACTCTGGATTGCTTGCTTTTGTGGCGTTTGCTTTCGGTAAAGATGCAGTTTCACTTTCTGAATCAAAAGATCATAAGCCTTCCCAAGACCCAAAGCACAGTGGGACTTCCCTGGAAGACAGGCGTCTGTCCTGCAAAGTATGGGGGGTCTCAGGAGACTCATTACAGCCTCAAGAGAATCTGAAATCACACAATTCCAGCCATTGATACAGAGCTCCTGGAATCCCACCTGAATTGTTACCTTCAAATACAGTGTCCTTTATCCTTCTGACTCAAGACTCTTCCAAAAGTAGATTTTCCTTTACCTCAGACTAGGCATAGAACCCTCCTTCAATGTGGCTGAATTGTTCTCCTGACCTTGTTTCAAATCACCATTAAAAATACTTAATTAAAGGAGGACTTAAAACTGAAATGAAAACAAAAGTATTTGTTTTAAGCAATCTTAAGGATGCATCTCAGAACTTAAATTGGTACCAGCCTAAGCTCAATAGTCAATGACTTAGATGACAGGACAGCCTCTTCATACAAAGACCTTGAATTTTTTACCATGATATTTTGATTATGGAGTGAATACTGCATCATTTTTATTTGAAAATTTGCAAGTTTCTTTGCTCAGTGGTGTATTTATGTTTTAAAAGTGAAGCCCGACAAAAAGGAAGATTAGTAATTGTGTGCCGCCATATTGATTCACCATACACATTTCTTGCTTCGATCTTCAGTTAGCTTGTAGTATCATTTGAATAGAAGTGACACTTCATAGGCCCGTAAAGACCCTTCATTCATACTTTTAATCGATAAGGAGACACGACTCACTAGTCAAGAGCTTAGCTGAGAAGCAAAGACTAGAAAAGATTATAAGTCAATTAAGCATTGTTTGCTCTAGAGACATTAAGAAACATGAGGGTAATAGAAAAAAATAAAAATAAAAGATAAGTAAGTAAAAAAAAAAGAACATGAGGAAGGTCTTTTCAAAAACAAAAAGTATTTGTGAGTGACTCACCCTCCATATGGTCCACCCTGTTCTGCTCAGCACCATGATAGAAAAACATTTTGTGCATAGATATGCAAACTTGGGGTTTGCTCTTTGGGTGCACCTCACAAGCAGTATCATTCTATCCTTAGTCTCTGTTTTGCTGAACCACACAGTAATCCTTCCAGAAAGTGCAGTGAACTCAGCAGGTGGCTTGGCCTTGCTTCCTGTGACCAAGTGCACACCTTGTATGCCTGGTCCACAGAAAGTCCCACGTTGAGATGGAGAATAAGCCTTGGGAGCCCGAATTCCTGAATGGTTATGTTCTACTGCTTACATACTTCAGGTTTTTATCCAGGCAGAAGCATGATTCGTCAGCCATATTTAAATTCTTAGAAGTCAGGAATGGATAAAAAAAAAAAGTGGTAAGGACATCTGATTTTTTTTTATATTGTAAACATTAAAGGGAGAAGGCCCACCTGGAGTAGAGTCACAGGAACTTGAGTGTGTTCATGTGGTACGAGTTTAATTACTCTGCTGCATACAGTGTACTGTAAGAGAGTTATTTCATATTATTAGTGATAGCAGATAATATGAAGTACTTAGTCCCCCCTGCGTTGGGGATTAGGATGTTACAAGGGGAATTAAGATGCAATGCACTCAAGTATCTAAAACACAATTTTAGACTTAAAAGTAGTTTTAAATGAGGGTACTTGGCTTGCAATCACTGTGTAAGTGGATTTAGTTCAATATCAATTAGTCTGAAAAAACTTGGCTGCACATTGAAGTGAGCAAAATGAAATAAAGACCAATGGAAAAAGTACATGCTCTGAAAACAGACAGAATTGTCAAATATGGAATTTAGTCATTAGCAAAAACAGCAAACATAAATGCCAGGCACAGCAGCTCCCACCTGTAATCCCAGCTCTACTCAGGAGGCAGAGATCAGGAATGGATGACAGTTTGAAGTCAGCCCAGCAAAAAGCTAGCAAGACCCCCTCTCGATGAATAAGCAGGGCATAGTAGTTGGTGCACACCTGTCATCCCAGCTACTTGGGAGGCAGAGATAGGAGGGTGGTGGTCCGATTCAGCCCTGGGCAAAAACACAAAACCCTATTTAAAAAGCAGCAAAGGGGTGTGCCTAGCAAGTATGAGGCCCTGAGTTCAAACCCCAGTCCTACAGAAGAAAAAAACAAAAAAAGAAGAAGACAGCAATGGGTTGATAAAAGTATATGGAATCAGAGCAGTAGAATCTTAGAAATAATAAATTTTTTGTGGTAGTACTGGGACTTGAACTCAGGGCCTCACACTTGCTAGACAGATGCTCCACCATTTGAGCCATTCTGCCAGCTGTAATAATAAAGTTTGAAAGGAGAGAAAGATGTGTTTGTATCAATTTCAGTTACGCTGTACATAGATATATTTTCCCCCTCAGTTACATCCTTTGTTATCTAATGATTCAAGAAAATTCACACGCCTCATTCAAATCACTGTCCTGTCACTGAGTGGTCAGATTCACAGGTCAGTGGCTTGCTCCCGAAGTAGCAGAAGTCACTCAAAACTGGCCATAAAGATTCAGGCTTTGTATGTGAATACAAGTCTGAGAAACGAGTAATTGAAAACCAGGAGTTTCAATAGCCCAGACCTACACAGTATACCATGAGAGTTATTTCCTTAGAAGGTACTAGTTTTACCTTATATGTCCATCTTCTACAAAAATTTGGCAGCTCCAAAGTTGCTGGGCACCGGTGGCTCACACCTGTAAATCCTAGCTACTCAGGAGGCAGAGATCAGGAGGACCAAGGTTCGAAGCCATCCCAAGGCAAATTGTTCCTGAGACCCTATCTGGAAAAAACCCAACACAAAAGAGGGCTGTGGAATGGCTCAAGGTGTAGGCCCTGAGTTCAAACCCTAGTAACTGCAATACACACACACACACACACACACACATACATACACACATTTTATCATTTTATTTTACCCTCCACAAATATTTGTCATCATGTTAGAGGAGAGAATTCGACTGTCCCCTGGAACAGCCACTTCTAGAACAACCTAATGAAGCAAGGAATGTGAATGTCTGCTCATTTCGTCAAACTATTAAAAATCTAAAAGTACTAATTGAGTTTTAATGGTATGAAATCCTGGCACTCATAAAGACTTGCCTCTCTTTCTTCTTTCCCCCCGCCTTGCCTTTTTTTTTTTTTCTAATTATCTTGTAATTTTCTGGGCCTCTAGTTGTCCCAGCATCCCTCTTGTGTTTGATATGCATTAAAACCTCCAACCGTTTAGGACTTCTATGCGATTTACCGATTAATAATTAGAACAGCTCCCTTTCTAATGATGTCCTCGCCTGGGACATCATTTGCTGGCTGATTGATTCTGAACTACTTTTAACTTTTTAAGTTAAACATTCATGGCACATCTGTGTGATCATTTCATCACCGCGTCTCAAATAGTAGCATCAACGTGTGATGACTTGCCTTGGTGCTGTCCACGTCTTTCTGTGGCCAGGGAAGTGACATACACCACTGGCTTCCTTCTAACACCGTTTTTCTTTGGCCACAGCTCTTCCATTCCTACCCTCCTGCGGTGTCGGGCATCCCCCCCATGATCCCACCTACTGGTCCTTTTGGGTCACTACAAGGAGCGTTTCAGCCCAAGGTAAGAACCTCACTCACAGTGGAGACTCCCCAGGGGTGGTTCTCAGTGGGCCCTAGGCGAGGCGTGCAAGTAGGGTCCCCATTGTCTTGTCTGCTGAGACTGACTTGTCAGATCCCAAGTGACCACAGGGATGAGATGAGTAAGAATGCCTTTGTAAATTTCCCTGTGTATTTACTGTATCCTTTAAAACATGCAGAATATATATATATATATACACACATATATATGTGTATACAAAAATACTTACAAATACACATTATTTTTTTCCTCCCAATGCTGTAGACTTAGCTTCTGGTCAGGAAGTCTATGAAGTGTCAAACACATGGAAACAATTATTAGCAAAGATACCAAAGCTGGGTCTTTATTGATTTTAATGGTGAGGGGATCAAAGTTTCCAAATTAAAACTATTTCCTGGTCATTGTGTCCATCTCCCTCATTGTCCCCATCAACCCCAGTGTGCACACGGGTTCTCCTGCATGGGGAACAGATACCCACCTTATTTCAACACCTCCTTCCTCCACTCGCTCTGAATTCCCACCCTTCACCCTGGCCACACTTCCCAAGACTGAGACTCAGTCATCTGGTTCTGATGTCCTGGCTTGAAATCAACCTTTAACCCTTTGTAACAACTGAACTTTTGTCAACAATAAGCTGTTCAACCTAGGCTACAGTTATCCTTGGGGATCAGCCCCTATTTTACTTTCATACAAAGAAAAGCAACATGTACTTATGTTGGTCATCATAAAAGTGAGATACAATTTGGGGTCCTCCTCCCATTTTAAGGTGAAGCACCAGTTTAGGTCCCACAGTGAGCACACACTACACTTGCAAAGTATGTCATGTTTACTTAAAACTAGAACCAGGGACAGCATTGAAAAGGCACCCAGAGTTGGGTGCACCACCTTCAAAATCACACGTGCCATGTTTACTTAAAACTAGAACCAGGGACAGCATTGAAAAGACACCCAGAGTTGGGTGCACCACCTTCAAAATCACACGTGCACATAACAGCATTCATGAGCTGTTGTGAGGAACATGGTCAAAGTCCTGGGTGATTTTTCAATTCATTCACCCCAGTCTACACCTCACCCACTTCTTTGCACCCTGGTCTGTCCCTTCTAGATTGGGACAAGTCTCTAGTGCACCCCAAAGCAGACTGGTAGGTCATTTAATAAATTAGGCTATTTCCCTTACTCACAATTATCCAATCACATAGAAAACTACATCTGGGCAAGAAAGTGTCTCTCCTGGTGTTGAAATAGGCCTTTCCAGGCCATCTTCCTGATTGAAAATGTAGATTGCAGTTCATTAGTGGAGTTCTTCATATGTATGCAAATCAGGCTGTTAACAACTCCAGCTTAATTGTTAGTGTACTGCAGCTGATTGCTTTTCTTTCTTCCATTCTGCTTTTTTTTTTCCTCTCTCTCTCTGCCTCTTCTCCTTATAGGCAAGCTTCATGCCTCAACTCGAGCTCTTTTTCCACAAGAATTAACTGCTAGGTGGTGAGGGGGGGGAAAAAGGTGGAAGTTGTGACTTCTTAAATAAAATTACTAGTGTATTTTTTGAATCCGTTTCCCACCTGACTGTGCTTTTTGTTAACTTGGGACAAAAGAACCTACAGATAAGGTTCTTATTATCAGTGATATTTAAGAATAGTGGTGAGAAGAGGAAAGACAGAAGTAGCATTTAATAGATCTGGGTGGTCCCTGAATTAGGTTCTCTTGTCCTGTTTCTGCCACTGCTAATGAGTAATTACTGACTACAATTTCTTGTTATTGTCTGCCAGTTAAAATTTACAGAGTTAGCTTAATGTCTGTAAAATACCATCAGCTATTGTAATGAGAAACACCTGATTTTGCAAATTATAATAACGTTCACTTAAGCATTTCTTGGGATGTTTGGTGATAAAGAAAAAAAAGAAAGAAAAAAAATGTGCCAAGGGTTAACAGGAAAAAGAGTGTCAGGGTATCATTTTTATTTGTTGCTTTTTTTTTTTTTTTTTTTGTTCTGGGCATGGTATTGCAGCCAAATGGGCTGGGGCCACCCTCTCTGTTTTCGAGGCCGTGGTGACAGAAAGCCATCTGTGGTCAGAGCCCCTGGAGAAAACAGAGCATGCGTGATCCGTGAGGAACCCGAGTCTTGCAAGTCAGAGCAATACAAGCAGACAAATGGAGTTTCACCTGAAGGAAAGATCTTGCTTTCATGTTTACTGCTTCCTAAGCTGTGGTCTGATTAATTTCTAGACATCCAACCCTATTGATGTCGCTGCTCGGCCTGGGACAGTCCCACACACTTTACTCCAGAAGGACCCAAGGGTACGTGCAAAGTCAGGCTCCATCTCAGGTAATACCAGGGGTGTTTGCAAGGGACGGCCCACCCAATGTTCACCCCAGCTGGGGACTCCTGAGCAGGCTGCTGTTTCAGCCCTTCCTTCAGGCTTGTGTGAGAAAATGCCATCCAGTTACTCTTAAAAGACAACAGCTCCCTATGGCCCTGTGAGGGACACAAGGGGACACTTGCCAGCAACAGGAGAGGAGGAGGAATGGCTGATGCTCTGAGCCCAGAAATGAGACACTGGTAGCTTGTCTAGTTTCTTACTTGGCCAACCTTTTCTTGGTCTACAACAACTCCTGGAATTTCTCTGGCACAAAAGAAATAGCTATAGAAGGCTTTGAATGGAAAAGCACTAGGCACTTTTCTTCCTGGCGTCCTTCCCTTGCCCGATGTCAGGAAGTTTCTGAATCACTAGGTTTTTTGCCTCTCTATTTTTAATGACCAGGGTTCCTTTGTGCTCCACTGCTAAATAAAACATCCATTATGCTCTTGTTATGTTATTTATTAATAATTTATACAGCTACCTACTTCCAAAAAAGAATTTGAAGTTACACAGTAAATTAGATCTCATCTCATTGATTTTTTTTATACTTCTTTATAGTAAATGTGAAAAAAAATGATTACCTTTTACAATACTTTTTCCTTGGGTAAGGGCAGTCCTAAATTGATGGTAAAAGTTAGATAGAAATTTAAAATGACTTCACTGTGTATTTTTATGATATTTAGTGAACCTGAAAATGGCTTAATACATTGTACAACCAAGGAAGAGAGCCTGGTTCTGTTGTGTCTAGGAAGGACAGCTCTCCTAATATCCCCACTGTCTAGCCCTCAGTGTGGTATGACAGGTGTCCTTCCTCAGTCCCACTCAGCACAGCATGAAAGGGACTCTCAGGATGGGGGGACCCTTGGACTGGAGGAGTGACTTAAGCTGTAGAGCACCTGCTTTGCAAGCGCGAAGCTCTGAGTTCAAGTCCCAGTCCCACCCAAAAAAAAAAAAAAAAGATGGGGACCCTCCTGATGTGTGTGTAACACAAGCACATCATGCTTCATTACGACACACAGCTATAAGTTAAACTTGTACCCGTGCTTGTCAGGGTAGATGTTCTGAGTGGGGGAGGGGACCCCTGGCACTTTTGATCGTGTGAAAATGGGCTAATTATTCTCGAAAAGGGCTTCATTTAAAAGTAAAATTGTAACATTTTAATTTCCCCTCCTAATGAAGCACTACAAATTTGTTAATTAGAGCAATTGTTTGAGTGACAGGCATGTAACCAAGTTGTCATTTTCTCTTCACAGTTGACAGATCCTTTCAGACCCATGTTAAGGGTAAGAAAGCTGCTTCTAGAACTGTTTTGCAACCTCTGTTTGACTCCCTGTGGGTTAAAAAAGAGTCTATGCCAAGGAAATAAGCCTGAGAGATGCTGGAATAAAAGGTCAGGATATCCATACTTGGGTTTTGCAGGTAGCAAGATTGAAAGTGTCCTAAACCGTTTTGCTTGGGTGTTGGAGGAAGCCAGGGAGGTGGCTTTTGTATTAACAGTATAGATAAAATTCAGATGAGTTAGAGTCTTTGTTTTGGGGTTTTTTTTTGTTGTTGTTGTTTTGTTTTGTTTTTTGAGACAGTCTCACTGTGTAGCCCAGCCTGGCCAGGAACTTGCCTAGCCTCCCAAGGTCTGGGATCACAGGCATGGCTGCCATGTTTGCTACACCTGAGTCTCTTGTTAGATGTATAGCCAAAGATGCCATAAGTAGGGTTTCATGGGGAAAGATGTAGAATATAGGCTGAAGCTAGTCTCTCACACTTAGAAAACACTTATCTGAGATCTATTTATTTTGGCTAATGACTCCCTCATTCTGTAAAAACGGATGTTGACTTGCTAAAGCCAACAACCTATTTCTCTGGTGCAGGAAAAGACACTATAAACACTGTTTTGATACCTCTTGTTTAAAGCAAAATGTTCCTAAGTCTGGAGCCTGGGACTTACTGGTTCAGGGCTGGGGTGGGAGACAGAAATGATGAAAGATCGATTATCCATCCATTCCTGCTATGCTCACCCCATTTCTGGTGCGTCTGTCAAATAATTTTACTTCTCCAAAGGGAAATGGGAAGACTGTGTGTCCACATAGGCAAGGCAGTAAGTTGTGTGGAATTTCAAACAACCCATAATTCTATTGTAAGGGAAAAGGGCTGATCCCAAACTTGGACGTAAATGTATATTTCGGGAACAGCTCCTTAAATACAGACATCAGAGGCTTTGTTCCATTGTCACTGAAGAATGGGACTGCATTCTGCCCCTCACCCAGGCGGTAGTGTACACCAAGCCTCTGGACAGGAGTATAGAAGAGGTGGCCCCTGTCCACTTGTAGTTACATTGCTGCTCAGAAAGCAAGGCATGAAATAATTGTAGCAGTACAGATTGACAGCTTCTGCACAGAGGTTGGCAGAGGGCTTACAGGGGGGTAGAGAAAAGGAAGGAAGGAACTCTTTCCTCCCCCCGCCCCCCGTCTTTTTTCTTCTAACTTAGAAATGAACAGTGCCCACCAACATGAATGGTCTCTTAGTGACAAATTAGTGGTCACTGGGTTGCATTTAAAAAAAAAAAAAAAGTGAGGTTTTTTCTTACACTTCGGAGGTTAAAAAACCAACTAGTCTTGGGCAGGTTACGCCAGGTCCTGTCCTCTCTCTTGTTTTGATTTGATTCACAAACATCTCCTAATTAGCTCTTCCCAACAGCTGATTTGCATTATGGCATGGCAGCATTTGCTAAGTAGGACTCCCTACCCTGCTCGCTCTGCCAGCTGGCACCAGAAAAGAACCAGAGGGACAAAGTGGGATTCAGGCCTTTCCCATCTCGTCCTCAGTGACCGAGGGTCCTCTTGGGGCACGGCTTTTTGAGAATTAGCCAATCTCTCAAGCCCACATGGGATGAGGGTTAGCTGACTGTGACTCCCTCATGACTGGGGCACTTAGAGGGGACAAAGCACTCATTGTCTCATGAAGAAGTCTCTGTAGACAAAAATCTGCTGGAACCTGGGAACTAGAAGGGGATTTTCTGAAATGTCTTTCCCCACCCTGAGCACGTTGCTCTTTCTCATTCCAGAAACCAGGGAAGTGGTGCGCAATGCACGTTCATATTGCCTGGCAAATCTACCACCATCAACAGAAAGTCAAGGTCAGTGCCACCTTCCTGTGGTGGGGGCGGGAGTTGCATCTAGAGACTGACAGGCAAGGAAGACCAGGTCGTCCCCCGTTCCCTGCCTTGAAAAAACTATTTGGAAATCTTACTTCTAATTAGGAACCACAACAAAATTACAGAACTGAAGCAAACTGATAATTCCCCAGTGCATTTTTCCTTCTCAATGAATTTGTCATCTCATCAATCCAAAGGACTTGACATATAGATTAAAATAATTTAGTAGCTAAGAAGAACCAACAATGAATGCTCCTGTTTTTGTTTTGTTTTGTTTTGTTTATTTCCCTTAATAACAGTGCTTTTCTTTTCTTTTTTTTTTTTTTTTCATTTTTCTTTTATTATTCATATGTGCATACAAGGCTTGGGTCATTTCTCCCCCCTGCCCCCACCCCCTCCCTTACCACCCACTCCGCCCCCTCCCTCTCCCCCCCACCCCCTCAATACCCAGCAGAAACTATTTTGCCCTTATCTCTAATTTTGTTGAAGAGAGTATAAGCAATAATAGGAAGGAACAAGGGTTTTTGCTGGTTGAGATAAGGATAGCTATACAGGGCATTGACTCACATTGATTTCCTGTGCGTGTGTGTTACCTTCTAGGTTAATTCTTTTTGATCTAACCTTTTCTCTAGTTCCTGGTCCCCTTTTCCTATTGGCCTCAGTTGCTTTAAGGTATCTGCTTTAGTTTCTCTGCGTTAAGGGCAACAAATGCTAGCTAATATTTTAGGTGTCTTACCTATCCTCACCCCTTCCTTGTGTGCTCTCGCTTTTATCATGTGCTCATAGTCCAATCCCCTTGTTGTGTTTGCCCTTGATCTAATGTCCACATATGAGGGAGAACATACGATTTTTGGTCTTTTGGGCCAGGCTAACCTCACTCAGAATGATGTTCTCCAATTCCATCCATTTACCAGCAAATGATCAGTGCTTTCTTTTCATTTTGTGCCCTACCTGTGCTGAGCACTCAATGGTGATGCATGTAACTAGCAATGACTCTTCTAGAAGTAGACTTGGGTTTGCAGTGACCTTGCATTAGTCCTTCTGATGGCCAGTAGCAGGTGTTAAAATGTAGTCCATACTTGCAGATCCATCTTCAGGCCAGTGCCCTACTGGGTATACATTTTCCTCAAACAGAAGAATGTATGCCATCCAGCACAAGAGCCTTTGTGACACAGTGGCAGGGAGAGGAAGAGCTACACATGACCTAAGGTGGTGCAGTGCTTGGCTTGGTGATAGAATAACTACCAAGTCCAGATCTTACCATCTTGGTAACTGGGCCAGGAAAAATGATAGAAAATCCCCAATCAGGCTGTTACAATAAACTTCACGTAGCCCATGTCTCCACCAGCTAGCTGTTAGTTCTAACAGTATTTGGGGCCTTCATAAGAGTCACACAGGAATCCAGTAAACAAGAAAAAAAGGGCTTGTCACCACAGAAGAGTCAGTGACTCAAACAGAACCTCAGAAAGAGACAAAGTGAACCTCAGTAAATGAGGTCACAAAGGTGTTTTGCTTTGGTACCCAAACACCTGCCCCTCCTCCAAACTTCCATCAGTGAGTGCTGCTCACTTTTACCTGATTGTTCGGCAAGGTTTAATTAGAAGCCTTGTGCTCTAGCTTACCTCGAAAACGTTGTGCACTTTGAACAGCTAACTGGATTTCACTGATGAGTTCAGTTCGCTTTGGTACTGGACGACGTGGTTGGCAGAACAGTAGGTGAAACGTGCCTGCCTCTTAACTCCTGTGGCTTCAAGCAAGGAAGGATGTGGCTGGTGGCACTCTCGCAACTTCTTTTCCATAAAAAAGCCCCTGGTGACTTCAGCTTTCATTATCCCAATTCAATTAGCAAGACCTCTTGAACAGGAGATGGCTCTGTTCATCTTTTCTTCCCAGCACACGGTGGTTCCTATTCCCCAAGCTCTGTTTTGCTTCATGGCACCTAAGTTGTGTTTAATGAAACTCTGCTGTGCATCATGCGACATTAGCACTAAAGAATTTGGCAACAGAATGAAAGGAGGTACTCAGGAAGATTTTTATAGATTTATAGTGAATTAGCAGCTTGCTTTGGGGGTGTGGCTATAACTTTATAGTATTCCCTGTAGATCAGAGCCAAAATTACAGCAGCCCCTTTCTCTTTATTGTTCATTTACTCATTCTTTCAGTCAGTCATCAAGTGTTTGTGGAGAGCCTGGTACCCGCAGGCTTCTTCCTATGCCAAGCTCAGAGGGCACTCATCTTTCCTGCCATTTAGATACTCAGACACTCCGTAGTGAGGCTGTGTGTGTGTGTACAGAGTGATGAAGGGGCCTTGCGTTTCCAAGGGGTATGGTTCCCAGTGTGAGGTACTAGGCTGGGCTTCACATGAAATGGGGGTGACGGATGGGTGTGGCCTGTATCAGTGAGGGACCAGCAGTCCTCCTGACCTTCTCAGGCAATGTAGATACCTCCCCATTGGCTTTCTCTGTTAAACCACAGCACAAGGGTCTCTCAGAACATGAGAGAGTTTAGAATGGGGCAAGAAGGGGACCAACCAGACTGAGAACCTCAGACGAGTCAGAGACATTGGAAGATCAAGGCAGAAGCAGGCTGAGGACCGTGCAAGAGCCAGAGTCTGGTGGGAAGGGCAGCTTTGGAGCCTGGGATCCCAACTGGCTGCAGGAGGCTGTCAAGAGTGAAGAAAGTGGGCAGGTTTGAAGCCATAAAGTTGAGGCAGCTGCCAGCATCCAGAAGGGTGGGACAAGAGGGGGACCATGGGCTACCTTCCAGAGCCTTAGAAGAGGGAGCTCAAAGATTAGCTTAAGGTGGACAAGAGAGAAAGAAGAGTGCCCCAATGCAGGGGTCTCGATGGTTCACTCATCAGACCTCCTTTTCTTCCTTAGCTAACTGGAGGTAGTAGAGAAGAAAGGGCTCCTATTAATTAAATTATGTCCCTACTTTGTTTTGTTTGTTTCTTGTATTTGTAAGCAACAGTGATCATTGGAGAAGGAGCTTGTAGGCCTACAAAGATTTCCTTGTGACATTCCCTTGCTAACGTGCAGCTAGCGCTGGCAAAGAGGTATTAAACAATAATTGACAAAGCAGATTGTTCATGCAGACGTCTTAAAATGAGCTTGAAATCACTATCATTTTAAAACATGCAAAAGTGAGCCTTTATAACAAAATAATAAACTCTTTTGGGGAGCAGTGCCAATTTGAATAAGAAGGATATGGTTACTTCCTCAAACCATCCAAGCTCAAAGACTAAACACCACTTTTGCCACTTGACATTTCCTACGTGAGAAACGGTACTGCCCAGTAGCCAGGCACTGTGAGTTCCTGTTAGGTTGACCTGCTTTCGTGGCATTTGAGGTTAAACTGTCCATACAGTTGAACTTGACTAGGGATTCAAGCCAAGGGCACAGTCCATGGAGCTGACTCTGCCAGTCTCAGACTCTTCTTTAACATCTTTCTTCCCTGCTGTTGGTCTCAGGATTTCACCTTCTCTTGTCTCCCTTGCTGCTTTAGAAACAGATGCAGTCAGACCCGCACAAACTGGATTTTGGGCTGAAACCTGAATTCCTGAGCCGCCCACCAGGCCCCAGTCTCTTTGGAGCCATCCACCACCCTCATGACCTGGCACGGCCTTCCACCTTGTTCTCTGCCGCTGGTGAGTTCAGAGATAGGGGAGGAGAGAGGAGAGCTGAGAAATGCAGCTCTCAGGTAGCTAAATCAATTCTGTTTGGGCTTTGTGCCATCTGCCACTCACTCACTACCTAAAATAATACAATTTATGCCCGCTCACCAGGCAGCAGCTCAGCACATCGAGGGAGAAGTGTCTTACCTCATTGATATGCCCTCCTTCATTAAAGAATGAAAAAGAGGTCATTGTTCCCTTACAGGGACTCATATTGCTCTGGTTTATTATTTGCTTCTGCATTAAGCCAGTATAGCTCACAAATACGTCAGATGCTATTGAAAATACCAGAAAGCTTGTAAGGACAAATGGGAAGAGACAATGGCAGAAATTAGATGCAGGCATGCTCATCCTCACTCTGGGCCCACAAAGCACCCTAATGGTCACGCTGGGTTTCGAGGGGCTCAGTGCAGAGGTATATGATGAAGGTTGTTGCTGAGGAAGTGGACCACTCTGTTGATGGCTGGCTTTCTTGCCCAGTTGGTTATAGCAGCAGAGGAAATTTAGGGACCACAGTACTCACAGTACTGTGATCGTGAGACTGTTCATTCGATCTGTAACCCATATGTCCAGTGTGTCTCTGGTGTGCGGAAAGGTGAGTTGGGAAGAACGGACTGAGAATCCCTGCAGCAGAGAACTGTCCCTCTCCATTGAGGGTATATGCAAACCAAAGGAGTGTCCACATGAATCAGGGGACCCTTGGGAGCCAAGGTCCCTTTGATTCAGTCTTTTCTAAAGCTATGTTTAGTGCAAAGTCTGTGGCTCAGTAAATACTTAAAAATGATGCTATTGAACTTGATCTAGTGACAAGCTCCAAAATGTCACACCCACTGTGCTAATTAGAATTGATTCTTCTGGACACAAATGATGGAGAGGCTTACTGTTTCTGACCCTTAGGGAGCAAGTTTCACTTCCAGCTGCCTGCTGCCTTCCCAGGCTCTAATCCAACACGCCTTTTTGGTGGACCCATAGCTCTTCCATTGAGGGGAAAAAAAAAGAGAAATACGCACATTGCTAGAAATCACCTCTCTAATAGACGTCGTTGCCAAGGCAAGTGAATCGCCCTTCAGGGTGGATAGAATTTGCAAAGGTCTCTGGTTTTCCTCTTCAGTTCTATCCGGGGACATGTTTGAAGGCTCTGTTACCATGGCACCTAGCTCTGAGACAGCTATATGAAGAGCAGTTTTTTGGAGAGAAATAGATTTCTCCCCAGCTTTCATCTGAGCCAATTGGATGCATTGGTTTCTTATGCTTGCATAATTCTGGAAGTGTGGGAGTCCCCGGGGGCCGTGGGCTGAGCGTAGCTCTGCTCTTCCTTGAAGTGTTAATTGGCTTGTACGACACAGACAGTGTGTGGCTAAAATGTTATTTAGCTGGCAACTCTGGTAATGCCTAATGAATGTCCCAGGGTATGCTCACTTTGAGGAGGTAGGATGTGGTTTTTCTACTTCCCAGGTGGAGAGTCAGGCTCCATCTCAGGCTGAACAGATAACCCCTGTGGTGCCTTCAAAGTCTGAGATTCCAACACTGTGCACATTTCTCTCATGCGCTTCTGCAAAATCGGGCTCACCAGACTCATGCAAGCCAGGGAGCAGCAATACAAAACATAAACTGAGTTAACAGAGCCCAAACAGGGATGACCCTCCTACATCACTCGGTTTTCCCGAGGGGATTTATTTGTAGGAACTCAAAGACAGTGCAAGAGATTGATTAGGAACCATTCTTAGTAAATTCCTGGATCCAGGCCCTGTCAACACTTCCATTCTGGAAGGTAATCTTGATGCATCAGCAGTACTGGGTTTTTCCCAAAAATGGTTATTTGGTGAAACTTTTAGCTGGTCTTTATAACTCACACACACATATCAAATTTAGCCACTTTGGTCTTGCTGTTGGCGACTAATGGCCGAAATAAGCTAGAAGCCTTCTTCTGGTGACCTTGGCAAAAACTCTTTGTCTAGAGCCATGCCCACCTTCCGGGAGCTGTCTCCTCAGCTCCGAGCCGCATGTTAGCAAGTTTGATGCCTTTGAAGCACACATACTTCCTCTCTCTCCCTCATTCCTTCCTTTCTCAGCTTCCTTCAGGAATGGGACTTGGGGTATTTAAAGCACTACAAAGCAGGTATAACATACAGAAGGATGTAGATAAAAGGGGAGCTAGAAGGAAGTCAGGCCTATAAATGTCACCAGGAAGGCAAAGAAGACATGTCAGTTATGAGTCTTGGTGTTAAAACACAGGAATACATAGCTTTTCCTGGCACCAAAGGCTGAGAGGCAGTGAGAGTCTTCCTCCCCCATAGCCCCCCAGCAGTGACTTGTGTAGAGTTGAGCTTGGAAAGGTCACTCAGCGGGGATGTTGAGAGCCCGGCAAGGCCTGGAGCACTGCAGCCTGTTGGTAGCTTGTGGTCAGCCACCACCAAGCCAAGGGTGATAAAGTACTAAGTTTCCAGAACAGAGTTTTTCAGAGTGAAAAGCTTACCCCCCAAAATACTATGGGAAGAAGGGACTCCATAACCAAACGCCACCTTCACAGAAGACAAAAGTGTAAGAAGTCCTTCAGCAAAGGTTCTTGCTTAGCTTTTTTTTAGCCCAGACTTACTTGGTTATAGAACCTTCCCCTTGCAGGCAGTCATCTCCATGTTCCTAAGGCTACGTGCCAGCAATCTTAAACTCAGGATGCCTCTTTTAGGGGCTCAGCCAGCCCAGCTGGGCAGGAACTGGGGGGTGGGTGATTGTTTTCTTCTCTTAACAAGAACGTCCTCCTCAGCCTGGTATCACCTGCGGAGCCTGGCTAGACCGTAACCATCCCTTCATGTGACATATTTTCTTGTGGCCCCTGGAAGCTGGCTGCAATTGAGAGTTTTGTAGACTCTGACCTTGTCACATTTGACTTGCAGGTGCTGCACACCCAACTGGGACCCCTTTCGGGCCACCTCCTCATCACAGCAACTTCCTCAACCCTGCTGCTCACCTGGGTGAGTTGCCTGCAGATGGTGGCAGCTGTGGGAGCTGTCTAGGTCACTCCTGCTGCTCTTGCTGGCCCACTGTGGGGTCCCACACACCTCCCTCCCTGCAGAGGGACAATGGTGTCTCTCACAGTACCACACATTCCCATCTCCAGGATTTCAAAGCCTCTTAGCTCACGATACTTTGGTGATACTCTTGCCCAGTCCTGGTGCTGCCTGCAGTAAACAGAGGCACAGTAAGGGAATGCCATTCTTTCAAGTCTTAAGGAATCTGAATTTAGGACAACCTCCACCTGCCTGTTGGAGGGAGACGCTGGAATCTTGCCCCAAGCTCAGGATACATGCAGGAGTTGGAAAGAATGATGAGGCAATGTCGTAAAGAGACATAACAATTTTCTTTTAGCACCTGACGTTTTCCTCACTAATAAGGAGTGTCTTCCCAGAAAAAGCTGTGCTTCTTATGGCCTTTGTTTTACAGTTTCTGAAGCGCACAGAAAGATCATGATTGAGAGGTTTACTTTAAGATGCTATCCAGGGCTGGGCATAGTGATACATCATTATAATCTCAGCCACCAGGAGGCAGAGGGAGGAGGATCTCAAGTCTGAGGCCAGTCCGGACAAAGTTAGCAAGACCCTATCTCAATAACAAGCTGGGCATGGTGGTGTACACACTTGTAATCCCAGCCGCACAGGAGGCAGAGGTCTAAGGCAACCCAAACAAAAGTTAGCAAGACTCTATCTAAAAAACAAAAGCAAAAAGGGGCAGGGGGTATGACTTAGAGGCTCTGAGTTCAAACCCACTACCATCAAAAAAAGAAGTCGTGTCATTTTTGTTCTACTGGAAGAAGCAGACCACAGTCCTGGGAGCAGGAAGCCTGGACAGGAAGGCAGCCTAGAACATTGGGGTTTGAGTGTCCCTTGCATGCACACACACACCCCGCCCCGCACCAAGACAACACAGGAATGATGCTAAATGCATCTTTCTGGAGAATGAGCCTTCAGTGCTAGCCTAGTGTCTAAATCCAAGTGCAAGAAAACCTCGCACACAGTCTGCAGGAGAAGCAAGGCTAGCTGGGTGCAGGGTAGCAAGGGGCGGCCCCACACTGCTCTCCTGCCCGCCCTGGGAAGCAGAGGATCCTGACCGTTTCCTTCTGCCCCATGTTTCTGCAGAGCCTTTCAATCGGCCATCCACCTTCACGGGCTTAGCAGCAGTTGGTGGCAATGCCTTCGGAGGCCTCGGAAACCCTTCAGTCAGTGAGTACCTCCCTTTTGTATCTGCCTTGGCCTCTTTCTCTTCTCCAACCTGAACATGGCTCAAGACCTTCTAGAGAACAGAAAACTATTCTTCAGAAACAGCTTTAGGTTCAATCATTGCACAAGCAGGTCTGACAATGGAGCTGGGTGTGCATTGCAGGGCCACTATCTTAAGAGTTCACTGTTACCGGGCATCCATGGCTCACGCCTGTAATTCCAGCTACTCAGGAGGCAGAGATCAGGAGGATTGCAATTCAAAGCCAGTCCAGGGGAATAGTTCACAAGACCCTATCTCAAAAATACCCCTCATAAAAAAGGGCTGGTGGAGTGGCTCAAGTAGTAGAGCACCTGTCTAGCAAGCATGAGGCCCTGAGTTCAAACCCCAGTACCAGGGGCAAAAAAAAAAAGAACATCTGGAGAGGAAGCAAGGTGGCAATTTGTAAGCCCTGCTTGTGTTCTGGACATGGTTTGGGTACGGAATACTCTGCTAGTTTTGGGCATGCCACGTTGCATATTTTGGGGGCTACAGGAGACCTAAAAGGCAGCTAGCTAGCTATGAGTGAACCACCGCCACAATGAGGTCTTTAAAACACAGCATGGGCTAGGCACCAGTGCCTCACACCTGTAATCCCAGCTACTCAGGAGGCATTGATCAGGAGGATCTCAGTTCAAAGCCAGCCTGAGCAAAATAGTTCATGAGATCTGATCTCATAAGAACCCATCATAAAAAAGTGCTGGTGGAATGGCTCAAGGTGGAGACCTTGTGTGTCTGTTTAGGTCAAGGTCCTGTGTGGTCTTGGGGATACCTGTTTTAGTTTGCTACTGCTGGAAAGAGCGACCATCATCCCGCAGGGGTGTGGGCACAGGAAACTGAATTCTACCTCGCTGAGAGTTACTCACCCATGAACCCCATCACACACCCGTGCATGCTTGGAGGCTGTGCATGTATGGCTCGGGCATCTTGCTACTCATTTGGTCCGTTTCATTTTGAACACGCCCCACTCCACCCCGTTTTTCCTTTTGGTTGAAAGAAATAAAAGCTGTGAGCTACCTCTGCAGCGTAGGACAAGAATTCCTCTAATGAATGTGTCAATTTCCTTTCCTTTTCCAGCTCTCAATAATATGTATTCATTTTAACTCTGAATGCTGTTAAAAGTTTTTTGGTAAGTACCTTCATTCCAGCAGGTTATATAATTTCTCTTAAACCTTTTTGTTCTTCACTTCACCATTTCAGCACCCAACTCAGTGTTCGGCCACAAGGATGGCCCCAGTGTGCAGAATCTTAGCAACCCTCACGAACCCTGGAACCGGCTGCACCGAACGCCTCCGTCGTTCCCGACCCCTCCGCCCTGGCTGAAGCCAGGTGACCTGGAGCGCAGCGCGTCCGCTGCTGCTCATGACAGAGATAGAGATGTAGATAAACGAGACTCATCTGTTAGTAAAGATGACAAAGAAAGGTACGGAAAGAAACCATTCTCAAGTCCAATGGAACCGGCCACCCACCCTCCCTGTGTGTCCCGGCCTCGTGCTTCAGCCGCCTGTAGCCCCAGCTCCTTCCCGTCAGCACCAGCCCCAGAGCCACCCCCCTCTGGCACACAGCTGTGAGGATCACAGACCCTAGAACTGGAGCATCCGCTAAAGGCGCCTGTCCTAGAAGCATGAGACACTCAGGACACCCACAGCTCCTGAACCCTTAGTGTGTCCCTCCTGTAGACGTCTTCCTCTGCAGACAGGGAGCTGGAACCTCGGACCAGGCACACACAGCATGAATCAATACCATGTTTGCTTTCAAGTTTGTGCAGTTCATGTATCATCCATAGGTTTTCCTCTCTTTTCTCTCTTTCTTTTTGTTTGCCTTTAGAAAGTCATGTTTGCATTGTGTCATGTTTTTCTCAACTTTTGTTCAAACTCAAATCCGGGGCTCACAAGTGACTGATAAAATTGTATTAATCGAAATCTAGAGAAATGTCAATGAGAGGTTTTGCTTTTGGCTGTGGTTTTGGTTTTGCCAGTGGATAAGTACTTATACTAACCATTGTTATCTCTGTGCTTGTAGAAAAAAACGAAGAAACTGCGTGTGATTTCTAAAGAATGTCATAGCATTCTTGACCCAAGTGTCTCTTGTTTTTTTTTTTTTTTCTTCCTTTAGGCTATTTTAATTTTGAAGGAGTTAATAAGAAAGGTTTCCTACATATGCTTGACAAAAAAATTGCCTAGTAATAATTTCCCTTTGATACTTAGGATTCAATTTGAGCCAACTCTTTGACTTCTCTTTTATATATATACATACATATATACATATATATATGTATGTGTGTGTGTGTGTGTGTGTGTGTGTGTCCTAGTAATTTTTAAAACTTTAACTTTGCAGGCCTTCAGTATGACATATTAGTAGATATCCATCACAGGCCACCATACTATACAGATTGATTTCTTTCTTACAAAAGAAAAAGATAAATTTTCCTCCAAGCAGTATGATAAAAAAAAAAAAATCTCTTAATCAATGGAAGGACCATTTACAACCTTCAACTGTAAAACCACTCTGTCAAGACACGCCCAAAGTAGACCTGCCCATAGAACGAAACACCTGTCACCACAGAGTAGAATATAGGATGAGACCAGAAAACCTTGGTGGATTTTTCTTGATGGAGTCAAAAGAGGCTTTTGGATTGAAGTCAGGAAGTTTAAGTATGCTCTTCTGTTCTTCCTGTGTATATCAGCAGAAAACAAAATTTGCAGAGGGACCTGCCTGACTCCCTCACTGTGGCCACTTGTTCAGATGTCTATCTTCTTACCTTCTCCCTTCACCTTGGCAGAGTTTGTCTTGGGACTCTCCTGAGACTCATCTTAACCCTCCACAGTTTGCCTTCCTGTCGTTCTATCCTGCATTTTCTGCCCAAGGATTGGCAGGTCTCCAATCCTTGTTTCAGGTCCTCTCTGGGACACCTTCCCACACTCTTCTCCAGTCCCCAGCAGCTTCTGTGGTCTTGGCCCTGCCTCACCTGCATCGGGGCATCAGGGCATCGGATTCTGGCTTTCTTGATGTACCTGTTGCAGGGCTGCCCTGTGCAACCCAGCAGCTCTGGCTGGGTGGCTTCCTTTCTGATTTCCCTCCAGGAACTTGTTCTGTCAGTGTGCTTTATTCTGTTTTGAGTGTCAGCACAAGAGACAAAGGCTTCAAATCTGCCTTTCCCTGGCTTTGTGTGCAAAGCTGGAAGAAAACTCATGTCTATGTCTGAGCTCTTAGAACCATCCATGCGTGGCCACGAGGCTGTCTTGGTGACTGTGACTTCACTGGCTTTCTGTAAGCTCTTCCTCCATGGCTTTGACCTTGCCGTGGTTCTCAAACTACAAGTAGCAGGACTTTCCCCTCCAGACCCGGCTCACCCTCATCCCCGGCACTTCATTCACCGCATAGGTCTAGTAGGCTCAGATGGCGCAGGGCACTGAGCCCACCACCTGGCGACCCAACCTGTCCTTGTCACACCTCCATTTCATCACAGCCCCTGGCTCCTTTTCCCCCCAGGCCAGCAGGCCCGTCTCATGTGCGCCCTGTGTCCCCTCGTTCCGCAGGGACAGCGTGGAGAAGCGACACTCCGGCCACCCCTCCCCGGCGCCCGTGCTCCCGGTGGGCGCCTTGGGCCACGCGCGCGGCTCCACGGAGCAGATCCGGGGCCACCTGAACCCCGAGACCCGCGAGAAGGACAAACCCAAGGAGAGGGAGCGGGAGCACTCGGAGCCCCGCAAGGACCTGGCGGCGGAGGAGCACAAGGCGAAGGAGGGCCACCTGCCCGACAAGGACGGGCCTGGCGACGAGGCCAAGCAGCCGGCGGCTCGGCCACCCTCGCCCTACGCGCGGCCCAGCAGCACATCGGGGGGCCGCGAGGCCGAGGTGCCCCGCAAGGGCGAGGCGGCCTTCGAGCACCCCAAGAAGGGTCCAGAGGTCAAGGTGAAGGAGGAGCGCAAGGAGGACCACGACCTGCCGCCCGAAGCTGCACCACCTGGCCCACGGCCCACTGAGCCCCCAGCAAACTCCTCTGCATCCGCGGGGCCCTTGGCGTCCGTGCCCATGGCGGTGGGCGTGCCGGGCATGCACCCCATGGGTAGCCTGGGGGGCCTGGACCGGACCCGCATGATGACACCCTTCATGGGCCTCAGCCCCATCCCTGGGGGTGAACGCTTCCCATACCCCTCCTTCCACTGGGACCCCATGCGGGACCCGCTTCGGGACCCCTACCGCGAGCTGGACCTGCACCGGCGGGACCCGCTAGGCCGGGACTTCCTGCTGCGCGGTGACCCGCTGCACCGACTGTCGGCACCGCGGCTGTACGAGGCCGAGCGCTCGTTCCGGGACCGCGAGCCGCACGACTACAGCCACCACCATCACCACCACCATCACCACGGCCCGCTGGTGGCCGGCGACCCGCGGCGGGAGCACGAGCGCGGCCACCTGGACGAGCGCGAGCGCCTGCAGCTCCTGCGCGACGACTACGAGCCCCCGCGGCTGCACGCCGTGCACCCCGCCGCCGCCGCCCTGGACGGCCACCTGGCGCACCCCGGGCTGCTGGCGCCCGGCCTGCCCAGCATGCACTACCCACGCATCAGCCCCACGGCTGGCCCGCAGAACGGGCTGCTCAACAAGACGCCCCCCGCAGCCGCGCTCAGCGCGCCGCCCCCGCTCATCTCCACGCTGGGGGGCCGCCCGGGCTCCCCAAGAAGGACTACGCCCCTGTCAGCCGAGGTCAGGGACAGGCCACCCTCGCACACGCTCAAGGACATCGAGGCCCGGTGAGCTGCGCCTGCACGCCTGCCTCCTGGCCCGGCTGGACACGCAGTTGGGGCCATCCCCACCCCTGTCCTGGGCAGATCCCAGACTCCCTTCCCTGCAGGATTCCAGATGCTTTTCTATCTCTTCTGATTTTTTCAGCCAAGTCTCATGTCTCCTACTCTTTTCCGTTCCTTGTATGAAACATTTTCATTTGAAGATGGTGACAGACATCAAGGTGATGACAGCAGGGGGAGGGTGTGACACACACATGCAAGTCACCATGCAGAAGCTCCTTGCAGAAGAGAGGGGAGGCGTGTACATAGTTGTGTAAAAAACAAAAGATTGCGTCGTGAGCTCATGGTTCATATATGCAAAAGGGTAAGACGAAAGCTTTACTTTGTACAAATGTGAATAGGTAAAGATTAAGTAACATAATACATAATACTTCTTCAAACGTGCTATTTGCTGACCTAACGTCAGTGAACACAGCCCGCCCGGGTGGTGTTCCCATCTATTGTCAGAGACAGTTAAACCCTTCAACTATGCAATGAATGTCGGGGCTTTGCACAAAAGCCCACCTGACTCAAAGCAGCCTTTTCAAAATCCATTTACAACATACTTAAGGTCATATTTTCCCTGGACAAGCACTTACATGACATGACTGTTTTCCTTGCTTTTTTTTTTTTTTTTTTTTTTTCCCTTTTTTTCTCAAACAAAGAAACATCCCAGTTTGCAAATCATCCCCCAGGTCGCAGCCTTGAAGGGGCCGCTTGTGGGGTTTTGGGGAAGGTACACCCCAGGAAAGTGGCTGGGGACGAGGGACAGCCAGTGCCAAGGAGAGGGGTGGGTTTGTCAGATGGCAAAATCAGGACAGGCAGGCAGGTGGTGGCATCTGTCACACACTCGAGTTGCTGGCATCCCTCCTCGCCATGGTGTTTCCACGCACAGCTCATGCGGGAGCCATGCTTTTGGTAGTGTGTCCTGTTTCATACCTGTACACACCCTTCCTCGTTTTGTAACTCGACTTAATTACACCCAAGCAGATCCTGAAAGAAAACCTTGAGTTTTTCTGGATGATGGGTATGTCTTCAGTGTAGGTGATAACTGATGGATTTAGGTGCAGTTTCCCAGGGGGCTCATATTCCAGCTAGTCATTAAAAGTCTGGGAGCAGCCCAAGTAGGAGGTCAGCCTTGTGGAGCCATCGAGAATTGCAGAGGGCGAGAGGTGGCAGAGAAAAAAAAGTCTCATGTGTGCGTGCGTTTTTGAGTTTGCATTGATCAATCTTACTGTCTCTTCATCATACTTTTATAATACACTAAGCCTTTTGTCTACATATTTGGAGATAATATGACTTTACTAGCAGAGAAATTCAATATAGTCTACTGGACTGTAAAATACATGTATGAAATAAAACTAGTTCCATTTGGTTCTTCTAGTAAGATTAAAAGTGCTATCTGACATTGTTATCCTGTTTTTTGCAAAAAAAAGAAAAAAAAAGTTAACTACAGACCATTGTTTCTAATAAGCAGAGATATCTATTTTAGTAGTCAACTAAAGGTTTAGTTGTGACCTTCCGATTTTGTGAATACCTGATGTTGTGGAGTGTTTTGGGTTTTTTTGGTTTTTTTTTTTTTTTTTTTAAAGACAACTAAAAAAAAAAAAAAATCCAAGGAATATGTACACTGGACCTGTAGTCGTAGCTTTCAGTATTGTAAAGAGATTGTTCTATACGGACCTTTTTGCTGTTTTCTCCTGTGTGTAATAAAGTCCTTTCCAGACCCTATGTGAACAGGATATGGACACACCTTCAGTCTTCAGCATGTTCTCATCGGCGGAGCCTTGTGTAATGTAAAGTGTGCCAGTTATTAAAAAAATGTGAACCAAGCTTCCAGCGGCTTGTTTGTGTGCAGTGGCCATAGGGCAGCACTTACCCGCCCTTGGCCAGCCACCCTCCCAGCCCCGTCAGTGACCCACCACTTAGTATCTGTATAGACATTCACCCCCACCCTGCTAGTTCTGGATTTCTTTTCTTGTCTGTGTTCTGAAGAAAATTGTCAAAGTCCTGGAAAGGTACTTTGGGATTTTTGTGAGTTAAGTGCTGTGTGTGTGTGCCTGGCTACCTCCAAACTCAGAGCAAGGATTTGTCCACGTGAGACCTGGTGTGGGGCTGGTAACCAGTCCTCGCTGCTTGTTTCTTTACATTTCAGTCTGTGACTCAGTCACTTGTATGTTAAGACTCAACCCTTCCCCTCCCCCAGGTATTTTTTTTCTCTTTCTCATTGAATTACCTGACATATCCATCACCAGTTTGCAGACTTTGCTGTCCTTGAAATCTGTTTTGTTTTTTTTAATGTGAAAAAAAATTTTTTTCTTGTATCACAACCTGGTGAAATCGCTGTTCGGATTGGTGTTTATATCTTCCTGAAAAAAAAAATCAGTCGAGGTTAGCAGGAAGGGGACAGAAGTTGGGACTCAGAATCTATGACAATAGAGTGCTGTGGACTTCTGCCATCCCAGGGAGGTGTTGGGAGGTCCAGGGAAAAATGACAAAGCTGGCCCAGGAAGCAGAAGGCGCTTTGGGTGTAGCTTGGAGGTAAGGTGCTTGCCTAGTATGCATGGGGTCCTGAGTTCAATCCCAGCACTGCACCAAAAAAAGAAAAGAAAAAGGTATCATTGGACCAGGCAGCAACTCCCTGCATAGGGGAACCTGTGACCCAGCACGGTTTCCGTGTCAGTGCCTGGTTCCCAGACTGGAGAAAGTAATAAACCTTGTGGGCTGGAAAACTTCTTTTGCAAACACTCAGGACCTCGCTGACGACACCGGTGGCCTCTTGCTGTGCTATTTCTGGCAGACCGTGCTGCCTTCCATTGTACCTGTCCTGATGTCCCCATCTGGGATGTCAGGATGAGGAAGTCACGGTGGTTGAACCCCCAGGGGCTTTGTACCACTCAGCCCTTGCATATTTTCTGTAATTACTGGCATTGATGGGTACCAGCATCAATTTGACTTCCTGCTAACCTCAATCTCTGAGTGACAGTGATCTGGTTACCTTCTAATGGGACATGACAGGTAAAATACAGTGATGTAATAATTATTGCTTCAGATGGATATTTCCAGCAGCACTTACTTGCTGTTTATCCATTTGCTGCCTCAATCATGGTGCTCGAGAAGGAATCAAATGCTACTGTTGATGTACATAGCATAAACGACAGTTAAGACAGCATTTTTTTTTTTTGGCACTTCTGGGGTTTTGAACTCAGGGCTTCACACTTGCTAAGCAGGTGCTCTACCACTTGAACCACTCCACCAAGCCCTTTTTTTGTGTTGGTATTTTGAGATAGGATCTTACAAACTATTTGTCCTAGCTGGCTTTGAACCGAGATCCTCCTGAGTAGCTGGGATTACAAGTGTGAGCCACTGTACCCGGCTAAGACAGGCTTTTGCAGTACAACCAGCCACGTAATTATAAAATGCTCCAGACCTATGGCCACTTTTGCCTCCATAAATGAACAAATTTGGCCTTGGTGGCTTTAAATCTGTTGAAGGAAAGACAAGTGACAGCTTTTTAGATGTTGTTTTGTTGTTGCTGTGCTGGGTGAGGTACATTGTAACATTTGCAGAGGTTCCTACAATGTATCAAATACATCATCCTTGAATTCAGCCCCTCCACTGCTGTCATTCATCCCCCTCCCCAGATGTTATTTTTTAAATCATTTTTCTTCTGTGCATTTTTGAATTTGTACAATTTGGTAGCAGTAGGGTTTGAACTCAGGGCCTTGCCTCTTTAGCCACGTCCCCAGTAGGCCCCCCCTTTTTCTTTGCCATAGCTATTTTTTAAATAATACATCTTGTTTTCGCCTGAACAGACCTTCCGCATAGCTGGGATGGCAGATACACACCACCATGCTCAGTTTATTGGTTAAGATTGGCCCTCACAAACTTTTTTGCCCAGGTTGACCTGGAACCACAGTTTTCCTGATCTCCACCTCCCAAGTAGCTGGGATTATAGACATGAGTCACCACACGCAGTCTAAAATTTTCTTAAACATGGAAAAGTTTCCTTACAATAGGATTCTTGGTCAGACAAAAATCATACCATCAAATCATATCCTCAGTGCAAAATTGTTGGTTTTCTTTGGTGGTCACTCAAGTGCAAAGCCAAAGTTTTAGTATTTCAGGTTTGAGATGCTGGAAGCTTCTGAGAACTGGTTGGCAGGAGGTCTGGAGGCCATGAGATGGAGTTGTGTGTGATCTCACACCTTGGGGAAATCCCAAGCTGGGAAGAAAACAACTGTTTGGTTTTTTTTTTAACTCAGTTTTAATTTGCAATATTCTGATTCTCACTAATGACTTACTAAAATTTTGACAAAACTAAAGGGTGTGATGTGGGGATTCCAGGGTAGAACTCACAGGTGTTTCTCGGAGGAAGGAGCAAGGACAGGGTCAGCGTGGGGCACCAGGTGTTGTCACAGGCTCACCCTACTGTCTACCTGAGCCTCTGAGCTGGTGTTGGGCAAACAGACCTGCTTCCTTACCTTCAACTTTAACTTGGCTGATGTTTAAAGGCCTCTTCTGGACCTCAGTTTCCTCTTTGTACTTTATCTTCTCACTTGCTGTATCCCAGCAGGACAGGGTGACTTTCATTCCCCCAGGCTTTTACCAGTCTCACCATACTCTCTTTTCCAAGGCCCTGGGGTCAGAATCTAAGCCACCCTACAAAGCCATCTCTTTCCCAGGGCTTGGCTTGCTCCCCTCCACCCTCCGCTCACCACACTCTGTTCTGGGGTTTTCCAGGGCCTCAGCTTCTCCAAGTTGAGATCAGCAGGTCTTCAGGAGGGGCCTGTGCGGGTTGCTCCAGGGGAGAGGCCACCCCTCAGTGTGCTGCACAGAGCCCTGGCTTTCACACCTTTGGCTGGAGCCACGTAAATCCTGGTCCAGTCCACACATCTGAAGTTTGATGAAACTGCACCCTCATGGTGTGTAATAAATTGACTTCTTTCACTCCATTCTCTTCTAATTCTATTTTTTTTTTTTTTTGGCAGCACAGAGGTTTGAACTTAGGGCCTTGTACTTGCTAAGCAGGCGCTTTATCACTTGAGCCACTCGAGATATCACTTGAGCCTATCTCGAGATATCACTTGAGCCTATCTCGAGATAGGGTCTCAAGAACTATTTACCCTGGGCTGGCTTCTAACACGATGTTTGCCTCCTGGGTAGCTGGGATTACAGGTGTGAGCCACTGGTGCCCTTGCACTTAGGCTGGTCTTGAACTCCATATCCTCCTGCCCAAGTGCTGGGATTGCAGGTGTGAACCACCACACCCATCTCCTCCAGGTCTTAAGAATAAGGCTGCACTGTTCTCCCCACCAGCCACCCTGGTCTCACACTATTCCAGCAGCCTTATCTCCTACACCACCCTGCACATGGCTACCAATTCTGGTCATCTGTTCCAGGTCTCCAAACCATCCTCTACTTCTGGAGGCTGACAGATGGGAGCCCAGACTTTTCATCTGGTCCCAGAGGCCTGTCAGCTTGTGGTTCCAATGCCAGTCCCTCTCCATGAGAAAAACTGCTAACACCTTTTGGTTGGTGACCTCAGAGACCATCACCTCCATGAAGCCTTCCTCAACTGACCCTTATCTCCCATCATACTTAATTGCTT